TACACTACAAGGGCAGAAAGTTTGAGATTCCTGCACTGCGCGCCATATGCCCGAGACGAAGCCGAGGGCATCATGGCGCGCAGTGCAGGAATCTCAAACTTTCTGCCCTTGTAGTGTAATATACTATTTTAACATTATTAACGCCTAATTTTTCTTTTAAAAACTCGACAAGTTTAAAATTAAAAAGATGAACTGAGCTCGAATCATGAGTGACTTTTTCAGAAATTACGACGTAATTTTCATGTTTAATTGTTTCATTATCTCTATAATAAATCACGTAAGGATGAAGTGTTGCCTGACTATTCGACCAGTGATGCGATTGAATTGCGTTCTGCACAACAAAAGAATAATTTTCGGCGAAATCTAAACTTACTACAACTTCTCCAACTTCAATCGTTTCTTTTTTTTTGCAAAATTCTTGCCATTTTTGCTCTGTCATTTAAGAATTCTTTTTCAATCGTTTTTTCAACAATTTCACACCTGCAAAATTAAAAAAATTTTATAAATCAACGGTTAAATTTTTAAAAATATTCAATTAAGTTAATAATTATATTCAATTCAATTCACTCTACCATGAACTTTATTTTTTCTTAGCTGTCAGTACTTATCCACTGATTGTACGTTATTTGAATTATTCCATAACTATCAAGCAATAATTTTAATTTATCAATAATATAATTAACACCCGGACAATTTGAACAATCAGAAAAAAAACAAGACAATAATTCTAAAACGGCTGCAACAGTAAAACTGTTTCATTAAACTAACTCTGAAAGGAGTAATATTGAGTAACATTGTTAAGAGCGGCTATTAACATTATTATTTCACGGATAATTTGATACCTAGTTTGTTGTTGTTTTTTTTTTTTTTTTCCGGTTTTAGCGTCTATTTATGGAAGAAACTGAAGTGAAAGTTCTTTAGCACGAAAGAAGGTATTAGACAAACAATTCATTCATTTGTCATTAGTATTTTATTATATTTGTTACAATGTATGGCATGATAACTGCCCTTTACATTTTTTCTTATATACTATTAGATAGTTTAACTGCTTATTTGGCTAACAATTTAATTAATTTATAAACTGCACTTTTTAATTTTAACTTTTAATAAAAAATAAATTAATCTGCAACTATAACAATGTTTATAAACTCTCTTATGGAGTAATAAAATCACTGCACTTCGGACAACGATCGCCTGCTGACTATTGCAAACGAACTAGCTCATCTTCCATTGCTATGTCCCCTGCCTTGACTAGATTCTCGAATCTTTGGATATATTCACAGATTTCTTTTATTGGATCACCTCGTAGAGTCTGCATTAGAAGCCAGTCGAAAGTCTGCCTCCACTCTTCCGCCACTCCACCTCTCTATAAAATCTACTATCTTCTCGTTCGCTGCAGCTTTTAGGCTTCTGCACCTGAAGATATGCTCCAGGGTTTCATCTTCGTTCTGGCACAATCTACACTGCCAGTCTTTGAAGCCTTTTTTACCTGCTCTCACTATATTGCCACACCTGATTCTGCACCACACCTCCTTTATCCAGCCTGGTATTCTATACTGTCTACCCAGTATGGCTCGGTACCCATGGTAGTTTTTATGAACTTGTATCTGCGATTGAAAGTCGACTCCATGATTTTTCTGTCATCTTCCAGTTTCGTTTCACTCATCAGGGAGTTTAAGCCTGCCATCAGTCTCTGCTCAATCATCGCTGCCTCCTTCTTGTCCCATATCATTTGAATGACATAGCTGCACTTCATTTCATCTAATGCCTTGACAAATCCTGCCCCCCCCCCCATTTTGACGGCTTGCTATTCAGGATGCCTCTGCAGGTCTCTCTCAGACAAACTTTCGGCCACCTTCCATTTTCCATACCCAGTATGTCCATAATGTATTTGCTCGCTCTTCTTCGGCACGAAACTTTCCAGCTTTCAGCGCCACTTTCTGTCCTCCAGATATACTCTGGTGTATTCTTCGCCAAGCCTAAGGCCGCCTTGCAATACCGTCCGTATACTGCCTCCATTTCCTTGTTGTCCTCCCATCCCCAAAGCTCCACTCCGAACATTGCACCCGCTCTGACTAGAGAGTTATATAGGTACATCCTATCTCTGAATGTACTTCTAGCTATTCTTTGAATCAGGCCCCAGGTCGCATTTATTGCCACCCTGGCCTTCCCTGCCATTTCTCTCATGTGTTTTTTCCAGCTGTTTCTACTGGAGATCCAGCAACCTAGGTACTTGAATTCTTTAACTTCCTCCAAGCGCTTGCCTCCATACCACCATCCTCTCTCGCTTCTTGACCGGCTGCCTTTGCTGTCTACTACCAACACTTTTGTTTTTTTTGTATTAACCTTCAACTTGTTTTTCGTGGCGTATTTCTCTAGGATGCAGAGCATTTCTTTCATACTATTTTCATCTGGAGCTAACATAGCTATATCGTCTGCATATTTGCCTAGAAATACTTTAATACTGCCCATCGCTATTCCTCCTGCATTCTGCCTATTAAATTCTCCATCAATGTCATCTAAAAAGATGTTGAAGAGCAGGGGACTCAGAGGGCATCCCTGTCGCACACCTTGTGATGCCTCGAAACTCCCTTTACTCTCGCCACCTACTGTAATTTCATTCACCGTCCTTCTATACACTGCCATGATGAATCTCAGCATCCTGCCCCTGATTCCTGCTTCCAAGGCTTTTTGAAAGAGAAGTTTTCTATCTACGCTGTCGAATGCTGTCTGGAAGTCAACGAAGCAGATAAATGCCTTGTTGCCTTTTTTTTCTTTCATCCAGTTGTTAATGACAGCATTTACTACAAAGATCTGGTCTCTTACTCCCCTCTTCCTTCTAAATCCTGCCTGGCTCTCGTTTAAAACACCTTTTTTCTCGCTCCAGCCTTCTAGCCTCGCCGTGACGATGTTTGAAAGGATTTTATATCCCGCATTAAGCAGCGAGATTGGTCTCATTTGTCATTAGTATTAAACTAATAGTATTTTTTGGTTAATATTCGAGCTTTTCAAGCTCAATGCACAATTTTTCATATTTTGAGCTCGAAGAGCTCAAAATGTATTTATTCATTCTTCAAATTTTTAATTTGGCTAACTATTTTTTTTGGCAATTTTGACAGATTTTTAATTTGAAAAGCTTGATCTTTCGTAAATTTTTAAATTCTTCTAGTTCAAATCCAAGCGTCACAAAAAAAAAATGTTGACTTTCTGGGAGATTTTATTTAACAAGAAGTCAGAAATTTATAATTGTCAACTTAAATTAAACAAAACATCAAAAAAATTTTTGTGCCGCTTCGACGCAGTTTTCAAAGCACAAAAAGAAAATATACAAGTTTATATTATTTGGTTGAAAAATCTGGAAGATATTTTGAGAAAACTGAAAAAAAAATTTTGTAAATTTTTAAAAAATTGTAACTTTTGAACGCGACGTTAGATTTTAATTTTTAAAAAAGCGTTCAACGCAGTTTTGTAAACAAAAAAAATGTATGCATGGTTTTATTATGATTTTTTCGCAAGCTTTAAAGGTATTTTTAAAAAACAAAAAAATTCCATTTTTTTTGGGGGGTTTTTTTTTTTAATTTATTCGGAATGGTTCGATGGATTAACTCTCAAATCTAATCAGATCTAAGTTTTGATAAACCCTTTCGAATGTCGTGTCGTAAAATTTAATCGGTTGATTTATTTTTGAGAAACCGTAAAACTCGACTTTTGAAAATCGGACCGAAATCAGTAACTTCTCTTCTTTCAAAAATTTTCAATTTTCTTCAGCGGGAAGTTAAAAATTAATTAAGATATGTTAGTTTTTAAGTATAATATTTATAATAACGATGATTTAACTAAATAAAACAAACTAAATAACTTTGTTATCATTTAAATTATGAATTTTTTATTCAAAAGTAATTGTTGTTGATAACGCAAACAGATGAATTGTCAATAAAAAACTCAGACGTTAAAAATCATACGTGTTAAATTACCAGTGAAAGAAATCAGAACCATACTCACATGTATATCTATACATACACATCTATACATTAATTTATTATCCTCTTTTTAATTTTAAATAATACTGTCACGAGTTAGAATAGTTACTGCAGTATTTTTATCAGATAAAACCCGCGATATATTTAAATACTGATTAAAACGAATTTAACGATTGGAAAAATGTCTAAATAACCCCCGATAATTTTTCCGACGTCTCGTTTAAAATAAATTTACCAAAAAATCCGGTACTTTTTCACTGACTCGACGCCTGGGCTCATTAATAATTAAATTAAAACAAAAATTTGATAAAATGTCAATGCCGCCACACAATTAAATTCTTTCAGCGTACCAGTGAAACACCCACTGATATATATATATATATATATATATATATATATATTAGAGTGGCGCAAAAAAACCGACTATTTTTTTTTTTTGTCTCGAGTGAAAAAATGTTAGTTTTTGATGTTTTAAGAGCCCTCACCAAAGGACAGCTCGAAAAAAAATTTTTAAGAGGTCACTCCAAATTTTTCAAAATTTCAAAAATCGTCAAAAATCAAATTTTTTTTTTTT